ACAGCATCACAGAAGCCAGCGAGGCGGACCGAGGAAGACGGCGGTCCATGCAGTCTCGCCGCAGCGAAGACTCCACAATCTCCCGCAGTGGAAGCAGAAGAAAGCGGTGGAGCAACATTCTCCTGCGGCGGGAAAGCGGGGAGTTCAGCTCCGCCTACCGAAAGGACGACGAGAGCAGCAACAACGGCGAGCAGGACACGTATTCGAGATCGCCCTTGTCTCGCACAGCTTCATCAGTTCACGATGACGAGGTCTCCGCGATAGAATCAACCCAACCGTCTATTGAGCCCACAACCCATTCCGCACCCGAAATCAATGAGCCCGCACCTACCACTGCAGCGGAACATACGAACAAGTCACCACCTGATGAAGCCGAATCCTCTAAACTAAAGTCCCCGGAAGAAGAAGCGAAGGCTCCTACTACTACCCACTTGCAACCATCTCCTGACATCAAGGAAGTGTCACCGGAACCGATCGAGCCGCATGCCGAGAAATAAGACAATCATTCTGTTGATGTCTACTTGATCATTATAATAGTAATAAGGGAACAACCTATGTCCCCCTGTTCCCATTCTGTATGTAAGCCTCCCGTTTTATGTCACGACAGGCTTTTTTTTTATTTCTCCCTTTTGGGGAGACCCCCCTCTCACCCATGCTCATCTATCATCGAGAGCTCCTGATACCCGAAGAGGACACAAATAATGCCTATATATATGACGACGCATGCCATCTATCTCAAATGTCGTGTATACTCTGTCCCATCATGTGAACTGATACATAGTAATAGCATAGTAGCTAGATAACGCTCATAGTGTTTTGATACCAATCATACATAATATTTGCATCAAATATTTACTCACTGGTTCTTGATAGTATAGTCTTATATTAATGAAGGGCTGTCTTTCCACATATTATGAAATATTCCAATCTTTACTAATTACTGAGATCGCTGCTCAGGCCCAGTCTCGAAGAGTTTCAGTTTGTATGAACTTAGATGGAGGAGTATGATGAGAAAGTGCAAAGTGGGATCCAGCCTAATTGTATATCTGGGTTGTCATTTGTCGTAGCAGCGCTCTGAAGAAAAGAAAAACACAACGTTTCCCATCCGCCGCTCCTCGATGTGCCATTGGAACAATATGAGTCAAGATAGAAGAAGACTAATATAAAAATAAGGAAGCTACCGCGCTAACAGGACATTTGAGATGATGGTTGATGTGGTGTTGTGATCTTGATCCAGGATGAGGGGATTGAACCGCCAGATGAAAGGAAAGGATGAGGAAAGGGAATGGAGAACTCGGGCTGTCTGGCGATCACGCGATGTAAGCGATCTCATCACCGTCCAGCCGCTCTATATAATCCTTCTCCATGAGTGCTTCGATGTTCTTCTTGATGTCCGGGACCTTGGGAGGGAAACGCGACTTGACCTGTTGAATCACTTCTTGGACAAGTTGCACATGCTTCATCTTCTTGCGAGATTTCATGATACGGACAATGGCGGACTGTGTTAAACACATGTTAGCGACATGGAAATTCTTCCAATATGGCATATATGCAAGGGACATACCTGAAGCAGCAGCTTCCGATCCTCCTCAATCGTCTTGTGCGTATCATCAGACTCAACCTTCTGCTCAGACTTGATCTGAATGTTGAGGTTGACCTTGATCTTCTTGTTCTTGAAGTTATAGTTCAGGGAGAAGGATGTACCAGGTTCTGGCTTCGACCCCTCCGGATTTATGATGAGCACCTTGGCCTTCAGGAAGATACTCAGGTTCGGGTCAAGGATCTCGGGAGCAAGGGATGTGGCTTTTTGGATTTCCTCGTAGGACAGAGTGTCATGTTCGTTAAACAGTAAGAGAATACCCATCTGGAAGGTCGACACCTGGAACGTGTAGGGAACCTTGGTGTTTCTGATGTAGTTGGTCTTGATTTCACCTTTGCATAGCTGCCAGAGCCATGTCAATTTACGACCGTTATGCTTGTCAAAGTAGAAACTCTGGAACCGTTCAGCAGTCTTGACGATTTCCGGTGGCGCGAGGAAGTCAGTCGAAGGCGCACTAAGGGGCCAGAATCCAGTTCCGAGGATCTGGAAGTGTGAGTCCACCAGTCTCCTCCGATCGTCATCGTCGAGAATCTTCTCCTGCCAGTCTCTGTAGCTGGCGTTGAGATCCTTCGAAATCTGAATGTCTTGGAACATGCGCTGCAGCTTGTTGGTGTACTCGAATCCACACGCCTCCTTGAGCTTGCTAATCATACTGGTCTCTGCATCGTCAGAGACCGAGCTGACGTGGACGAGACGTTTAGCCAGCATCTTGGAGTAGAACTTCTGGAAAACATCCTTGTCTTCGATGTACTTGAAGACAGTCATGATCTGCACCAGCATTTCTTCGAGTTCAGACTCCTCCGCTGCCTTGGAGCCCTTCTTGAGCAGTGAATCTGTGTACCGAGCCAGCAATTCCGGGGTCTTTGTTGAACCAGATTTGCAGATCTTATTGCGGTTCACAAATTCACGGCAAGCATTATCTAGAGACCGGACAAACTCCGACTCGCCGTTGAAGGCTTCGCTTACCAGACTCTGATACCGGGTGTGCACCTGCAACAGTGCATCGACGTAGAGCTTGGGCTCAAAGGAATCGCCATCCGCGGCAACCTTTTCCACGGCAGCCAAGCCTGCCTTTCTGACGTGGGCTTCAAACTTGGTGCGGAGAGGGTCCAGGCCGTCTTTAATGCGAGACAAGAGTCTGTACATCCGGGCTAGATCTTCTTGGCGTTCATTATCCAACAACACTTGGAACTCGTCCCGCAAGAGTTCGGAGTGCGCGGTAACAAGCACATCCAGGCACGTGTCAGTGAGGTGCTTAGAGATATCCGGGTGCAGATACAAGCCCACGCGCGCCTTCTCTTCGTCCAAACGAGCCTCCGCCTTCTTCATGTACTCAACAACACTGTTCTCTGCGACAAACTGGCGTGATTCATTCTCGTAATAGACCCTGGTGGCATCAATGAAGGGCTTCTCGAAGTAATACCGATAGACCTCCAAGGTGGATTTGCTAGAGTCGCTCTCGTCCAAGCCAAGGGAGACGAAGGAGTCAACAATGCTTTTGATCTGAGACTGCTCGATGGTTTCGCCGTTTCTCTGCTTCTCGACCAAGTTGAGCACTGCTTCCATGACCTTCTCATGGACCTTCATGAAGAAGTCATCCTTCCACTTGACCAAGTGCAAGGTATACACATCGTATACATTCTTCTTGCCTTCGTCAATCTCCCGCTTGACCCAGTGACGGTTCAAATATTTGAAAAGATGGTTGATGTACTTAGCCGCCGTCGTGTAACGGAGCCACTCTCGGATGTAAAATCCTAGCAGGGCCTCTTCCGCATGACCCTCGGACTCCTGGTATACCGCGTCAAGGTGACGAGAAAGGTACTCCCCGAGCAACTTGTACAGTTCCTCTCCTAGTAGGTGTGCTGGTGATGCCGTCAGCTGTGGAGTTCTGAGACTCAAGAATTTGTGTGGTTGTGACCGACCGCCATGATGCGCTTTTATGTTTTGGCTGCTGCCGATGGCCTTCTGTGACGTGCAAAAATTATGGACGGCGCTTGTTTCTGCAGGTTAGCCAATACATGGGGACAGGAGACGCCTCGGAACCAGGACATACGTATACAACGCCATGTACTAGAACAACGAAGATGATATGTCAGCACACCATCTAGCTCGGCAGGTCATGATGGTCCTGACGGGGAAGCCAGGAAAAGAAATTTGAACGGCATACAGTTTTCATATCCACACCTTCCTCCAACTTGAGCATCACGCTGTCGATGCCCTTCTCTAGAAACGTCCATCTGCGCGCCGTCAGCCAAAGGTCCCGACCAAAGCCGCTATATGATTCCTTCTGACAAGAGCGGCCGCCCCGCTTAAAAGGACTCACGTTTCATCCAAATCATCCTTGTGAGGGATTTGGGGGATAAGAGCAGGCATTCTGCGAGCTATGGATAGTCGAGTTCGAGCCTTGAGCACAGGTCTATGGAGTAAACGGGACAGCATTAGCTTATGCGAATTTGAGACGACTCCTTTTGAGGAGTTGTCAAGGCGGAGGAAGGTTCTCGTTATGGGACGAAACAATGGACAAGGAGACGATAGCGACCAGGCACAAAGACATGTGAGGATGAAAGGGAACACGGAACTTACCTCAACGTCTCAAGGATAAAATGAGTGACCGCACGCTGAGCGGTGGACGACTAAGCTTTAAGGCAGCGATGATGAGTCTCAATATCAGCTTCAGGACCTCAGCCTAGCATTTAAGGCAGAAGAGAAGCTGGCGCGCTGTGGGAGACGACCCAAGGAGCCACGAGGATTGCACTGCAAATGCCCGGAACTACTAGAGTAGGTAGTGACGCGCCTTGGAGGAGAGAGGGTGGGGAGGGTAGAAAAGCGAAGGCGGGAGGAGATATGATTTGAGCAAAGGAAGCAGAAAGAGGGCGTGGCGGTTGGGCGGAAGAACTAAGATGGGGGGGAGGATGATGATGGCTGGTGGTTGGTGGTTGGTTAGTTTAGTTTGGCGGTTACTAAGTAACTTGGTGGAGGTTCCTCCAACAGAGGAGGGGGGGAATTGCTCGCTGTTTGCGGTAGGCGGTCAAGCCCTCTCGATCTAGATTTAAGATTCCCCAGGCCGCCCTGCTGATGGTCGGGACTACTACAGAGTCCTGTGTGAATAGTCTTTCTTTTAATTTTAATCACTTCAGGGTTCGTTCCAGGTCTCTTCAGCATCGTGTTACACTGTGCACGTCCAGTTTTATATTATCTCCCCCAAGATCTCCCCCAAACTGCATCCCAACACCCTTTGGGTAGGCTGGCACGGGACCCGACCCTTGGGATCAACCGCTACGTAACCGCCTACGCTTTTTCTGACCCCCCCAAGAATGTTCATCTGTCACACAGTCAATGTCGATCTGACTGGACACATCCTCCGCGGTTGGAGAGAAGACGTATCTAAGATCTCCTGGCATCAATGACACGTTGGATGCGAGACAATCAGCTCATTGCGTGACGAAATGCTAACTGTCATGCATTCTTCATCCCCTCACAGGGGGCAAGCAGAACTAATGACGTCACACATACTCTCATTACGGGTGAACTGATCTTTGAAACCCTTAGAATCATGTTCAACCACAACCCCGATTCCATTGGCACTAACATAAAAGAAGAAAGACAAGAACAGATTGGCGTGTTGAAACTCGATCAGTCATGTCGTTCTCTCCTCCTTCAGAAATTTCCGTGACATCTCGCCAGATCCCCAAATGGGGTGGCATTCCCAACACCTCGATCCAGTCTAAGCCACTCATGATCTACCACAAAGCTTTTAACGCGTCCGCTAACGATCTCGCGGCGCACCTGGAGAAAATTGGCGAGGTCAGACCACAGTGGGTCTATTCCATGTACAGTCAAACGCACTTTCACAGCACCACTCACGAGGTGCTGGGTGTGGTTTCCGGCCGTGCACGGCTTTGCTTCGGTGGGGAAGCGAACCCCGAACGCTTCGAGCCGACCGTCGAAAAAGGAGATCTGATTATCGTGCCCGCCGGCGTCGGCCACCGGCTGCTGGAGGAGCTCGGCTCTGACCAGGGTGACCCTTTCCAGATGGTTGGCGCTTATCCGCCCCAGAAACAATGGGATATGTGCTATGGTGACTCAAGGGAGGAAGACAAGGTTTCGCGGAATATCCATGCCTTGAGTTGGTTCCACAGCGACCCCTTGTGTGGCCAGGATGGGCCTGTGCTGCACGTTTGAAGGATTCCTTGGGATAGATTTTTCGAGCGATAACAGCGGCCGTGGATTCTTTACCATCAAGATTTCATATGTACATAATGTTCTTATCGTATATGCACAGTGATCGTGTAATCCAAAAAAAAAAAAAAAAGAAATCAGGTTTTCCCTTTCCGACCCAAGGCTTTGAAACTCCAACCGACCACCACGACAAACATAAAACTCCATAACTAAGCTCACGAAGCAAGGATATAGCGCCAAGTAAAGCAAACGGGGGAATGAGAAGAAGAAATTGAAGGAGGTTGAAAGGGGTAAGCCAAGAAAGGAGTAAGAAAAGAACTACCGGGAAAGCCATTCGGGGTATTAATGTGGTGGAAGGGGGGATAGGAAATTGCCCCAGAGGGACTATAATGAGGAGATGAATAACGGGGTTGGGAGTATATTGTAGAGCTGCACTTCATGAAGCAACTCGTTCGACAAGTCTAAATCGAAGCTGTCAGTATCGTCATTCGTGTAACATGGTAAGACTCTCGTACCTGAGGACACTGATGGAAAAGGTGGTAAGCCAGGCTAGTAGCGCAATCAGTAGTACACAAGCTAAGGCGATCTGCCGGTCGCATATTGCGTCGTTTTTTGGCGCAACCTCTTGGTTAACTTCAGCCATTGTGCATGCGCCCCTCACAGTCGAGAGTGATTCGAACGCCAAACTGAGATTGGCTGAGTCGAACACAATGAAAAAGATGTCCAGAAGAATGAGTCGTGCCTTGGCGGATGGAGAGCGAAGACCCAGCGGCTTGGATGTGTATTCGTCAAACGTAATGTAAACGAGGTAAACCAGGGCAACCGCATCGACGATAATCGCCATTAGTGCGGAGGGGCCTTGGGGATGCTGGTACTTCCCCGAGAGATGTTGGATAGAGCCTCCAAGAGCCAGTGCAGTGAGGGAAAAGCACCACACCGTAAGTCGAAAGATCAAGGGGACCATAGGGCTCTTGAGAAGCGTGCTGTGGAAGCGCTTGAACCAAATTTCTCGTCGTCTTCTCATCCTCAAGGGGTCTTCGGTATCTTCATCCGGTTCGCCTTGACCTCGCCAAGGTTCAGAATAATCACCGAGATTCTCATTCAACCAGTCCGGCGTGACGGATTTCTCCTCAAGTCCTTGTTCTCGGGGGTATACAATGTCCCTGGAAAAGTTCTTCCAGCGCGACTCGCGCTCTCGTCCAATGAAACCCCTACTACTTTCACCCTGTCCACTCGAAAGGGTAGGTCTTGATGCCGCATAAGGCGAATGGTTGTGCTGGGCGACAACAGCTTCTCCGGGCTGTGACGGAAGCAGCCTATCTGTGACAGCTGCATCTACCTCGTCCTCCGTATATTCGACTGAACGGATCCATGCTATACAGGTTATCGTTGGTTAGCTGAGCTTTACCCGGTGGATCCGAGATCGATCAGGACACAAGGGGAAACTCACCTGGTAAAGTCCGAGGTTTCTTCCCCATTGCCGGGATGTTGTCGAATTCGCCCACGACTGTACTCTCTGGAGAACGTGAGTGCCCAGCCGAGTAGTCTACTGCATCATGTGGGTGGACGATATCATTGTCGCTGTGGAGCGCGCCAGTGGAATGGTTCGATTGCGCCGACATCCACTCGGTAGCGGAGGGTTGCTCCGACAGCTGTTCGTCGGAGAGCGGAGCGACATCCGGAGGCTGCAAATGTGAGTCGCGCACATCTTGTGCCATTGCCGTACAGTTCAGCGGTGGTTCCAGGCGAAGGTGCGTCGGCGGGTCGGAAGCTGGGGGCAAGCCGCGGATCTAGTCTGCATCGCCTCAATGTCCCTTGGAAGATTAGCGGGCACCGGGCTTGACTGAAATTTGGGAAGCCTTGGCCCTTGGGAGAGATAGGATCATCGAGAGAACAGTCAAAATTGGTGAAACAAGGCGACAATGAACTGAGATCAAACGTCGCAGAAGGAGGGGAAAAGAGAGCGAAAGGCTGGGAGGCTGGTTTCAAGAAATTTGGATGATGGAAGCCTACGTAGTAATTCGTCCGGGCTGTAATCTTAGCTTGGAGGAGCTAAACCCCCAACCGGTTAGCTGCGTAACTTACAGCCAGGTACAATCAGTACTTACCATACTGTACAGCCTGCAGTCACGATTATCCATATTATCGGCAGTTGCAGTGTCATGCATACCGTCACAACAGTAAGCTGAATGACGTCTGAAATGCAACTAAGCAAAGCATCATCCATCATCACCGCTGCCGCCAAATAATGGTCCGGCAACCTCCACGCATCCATCTCCGCTACACCCATTCATTCCCTGATATCAATTTCAAAAAACGGTAACAACTACGACTCGAAAAGCCAATTCAGGCCCCGTGACCTTCGAATACCCTCATCAGACAGGAAAGGCATGCCACTTTCATCTACGCCCTTGAATCGGTTATTTTCTCTAGTCGATCGCTAGCTCTCCCTGGCTGCCTCCCAAATTTGCCCAAATCAGCCATTGTCGCTGATCCTTGAGAACACGCCACGGCATTTATAGTAATTTCACAGAACGGATCCCTTTTTCTGTTGCTATGCGACTCTTCGTCATCCCTATCTCGACGCGACAAGCTCTAATCTACGCTCGACCCCTCCGCCGTGGTCCGTCGCAAAAGCCTTCGATACATGACCGGGTCATACAAAAGGCTGCCGAAACATGGGCGAAATGGGAGGAGGCCGATAAGGGCTGGAAGAAGCATTTGGTCTCCTGGGGTAATCGGGTGCAGCAACGCATCCCGTATCAAGAATGGGGTCTGAAAAGTATCCCATCTCTCGCAGCGGTGCGGCGACTTGATGAGTCTTACGGGACCAAGAAAGTGGACGTACTATTCCCGGGGAATGCTATTCGGCCGGAAAAGCTACAAAAGATGCTGCAAGCAATTGCGACGGAAAGGCAGGACTTGCATCGCCGAAGGATGTGGTTGAGCTTGCTTGCGACGCCCTTGACCGCTCCTGTTGGGCTTATTCCTCTGTATGGAGCTCTTCTGATTTACCCGGATTTGAATGGCTTGATTGACCCGCATATGCTAATCATACACCCATACCTACAATATAGTGTACCTAATGTCCCTTTTTTCTATCTCGTGTACCGAGCATGGTCCCATGGACGAGGTTAGCTTACCACTTCTTTCCTACTCATGACAGTTCGTGAACTGACCATTCCAAGCACTTAACGGCTCCAAACACTTGGAGTTTCTTCTAGAGAAGAACCTCCTGAATCCGATATCATACCCTGGGCTCGAAGAACTGTACGCGAAGCGCGTATCTTACGCACTGGAGAATACTGGGGTGGACAAACCCATTGCGGAGATGGTAGAAGACGTGGAGAAGAGTGATGATAGGTTACTTCTCCGCATGACAGATGCGAAGAAATTAGCCTCGATCCTTGAGGCACCGGATCTTGCGCTGGAAGCTGAGCGAGCCATCATACAAGTGGAGGAAAAGCTGAAGGCGGATGCGAAGAAAGATGCTGAGGATGGGGCCTCTGAAAAGAAAGATACATGAGCAAAGGGGATAACTATGGGAAGGATTCCTACCCGGCAACCATCATGGCCCGTGGCTGCCCCAGGTCTTCCGAGGACAAGTCAGTACATAGTGTTTGTAAATGGTGCATGGCGAATGGAGCTTGGATGCACACGCCCAGTTAGAGTGATAGGAAATATCTAGACATATTGCGAAATAATGAAAATCACGCTACTCTCCAAGCACTTCATAGCTATCGGTTTATTTATGAGGCTATCCAGAGACTATCTATCTAAGATAAAGTCGATTATCTGGAGCAGTACCTGAACGGAACTAACTTGTTCCGGTAATCCCAGCGGAGCCATTGCGGGACGCCCGAACCGGATGACGCCCAGCAATCCAGCCAAACAACTTCCCCCCATTTATTCCCCCCATCCTGTTCACTTCATTCATTCTCACCTCCTGTCTCCCATTGCTCGGTGTCCTGCTAAGCCCCCCAAGTCGACAAGAGACTCTGCCTCCAATCATGTCAACCAAGAAGATCGAGCAGTGGGAAATCGAACGGTACTGGGAGATCTTCGCATCGCTGGCAGGCGGCCAGCCGCGTTTGAACAACTCCCAAGCGGCCTCGGTACTCAGGAACAGTCGGCTTCGTGATGACCAACTGGAAAAGGTCTGGGACCTGGCAGATGTTGATGGTGATGGCGAACTGGACTTTGAGGAGTTCTGTGTTGCCATGCGATTGGTGTTCGACCTTGTCAATGGGGTATGTGAGCTCCCCTACTGCGGCGCCTCCCGGTCCTCCTGGTGCTGCATGTCTCCTTTCCCGCCCGCTTCTGCAGTCCAACGCTCCCCCCACTCCATTACGTTACATGCTAATATATCCAATCCGCAAAGGAACTACAAGCAGTGCCAAACGTTCTTCCGGATTGGCTTGTGCCCGAATCCAAAGCTCATTTAGTTCATGCGACCCGGGCCCTGAGCAGTCGTCCGGAGCAATTCGAACGGATAGAAGACGAGGATGACACTCCCGGCTTGAAAGATGGCTTTGAATGGTACATGAACCCATCCGATAAGTCTAAATACGAAGAAATCTATCTCGCGAACAAGAACCACCGCGGGGAAATCTCCTGTATGTCCGAATTCAAGCTCACCCCCAACTTCTACCTTCCGGGTCATGAACCTGACATGATGCGGGTCTCATACAGTCGAATCGTTACAGCCTCTTTACGACTCCCTTGACGTCCCGGACACAGACATCCGCTCTGCATGGAACCTAGTCAACCCTTCTGCTTCCCCGACCATCAACAAAGACGCTACGCTTGCATTCTTGCATATGCTTAACTACCGCCACGAGGGCTTCCGCATTCCCCGCGCCATTCCTGCATCCCTGCGCGCTTCGTTCGAGAACAACCAGATCGACTACCAAGTCGACAATGCCCGTCCCGCCCAGAAATGGGGCGCGAGCGGCGATACGGAGACTCTCACGGGCAAGAAAGCCAAGTTCGGAGATACCTATCTGAGTCGGCTGGGTGCCGGAGGGAAGACATCCTATACACCCAAGGGCACGAATTTCAGCGACACCATCCAGGATGAAGAGTGGGAGAAGGTTCGGTTGAGGCGCGAGCTGGCGGAGATCGAGTCCAAGCTGGATTCCGCTAGAAAGGCCTCCGAAGGACGACGCGATCGACCTCGGAACGACGGCCGGCCCAACTGGGTGTTGATCAAGAAAGAAGCACTCCAGCTGCTGGAGTACAAG